GCCAGAGACACAGTGCACAGGCTGGTGCATGGAGTAGGACCTTTGGAGCACTTGAGCAGCTCAGGTCCACAACCCCCAGAATGAGACTGGGAAATCGGTGCATGAGGTGCTGCATGGAGGGTCCAGGACTAGACCAAGCCTGGTGCTGCATGAGGCAGCCCAGGCCTCCGACCCATAGCAAAAGGCTGAGTCCAGGGAGCCAGATGGTGCTCAGGCTACTGAGCCAGCAGACAGGGCTGAGCCAGAGGCCCCAGAAGCCCTCCATAGTAGAGCCTTGTTCCAGGGGACAGCGACCCCTGCGAAGCCCACTGCAGGTGAGAGAGCAGCTTGGTGAAGAGGATGAGGGCCACCCTCCAGGCATGGGAGCCGTGAGTTGCAGGGAAAGGAGGATTCCCACAGGGGAGAGGGAGTCCCACCTGGTTAGTTAAGGGCTCCTGAAAGTGGAGGTCCCACTGGGAGGCCCCCCTGAAGTTATCAGCTACCTTGTAGGGCTTGGGAAAAGCCCAAGGGCATTGAGGTTTCCCGTTGGGATTAATTTTATCTTTGAGGTTCTTGCGCCAAAAGTGGTGTGATGTCATGCCTTATATTTTGCGAACTCATGCTTGTAAATTAGTAGATGAGTCGAGTCCTAGGGCTCTGCTGGGACCCCCTGTCGCTATTATTTCACCTGTTGTTTATTTGTATATATCTGTGGCTTATTTATTGTCCACCCATACTTATCTATAATTTATCTGTTAGCTATCTATGTTTATTTTGGGGTTTATCTGTTTCAGATCTGATACTTACCTGTGACTTACCTGTATCTGGAGCACTGGTATAAACCTTTATGGCATTTACCCAGAGGATATTGTTTATGTTATTTGTTTAGATATCTTATATATATGTAGTACATATGTTTATATCCATGTTTCTTTTCCTTGTGATAAGTTAATGTAAATAAATTTGTATATAGTTAAGTCCCCTGACTGTCCAGGCCTGGTTCTATAGGGACGGAGGGAAACTGAGCAGTCTGCAGTTCCCCACAGCACACCTGCCAGCTAACAATTCCCTTCAACTGGAGAAAGGGAGTATATACCTCAGTTACCTGGGCTACACTTACAAGGAGGATATCCAGCAATATATGAAAGTCAATGAATATTTTCATGAGCTTCACACACATCACAGAGAACCTTCTCTCTATAGCGAGAGAGTGTATATACCAATGAGAGGTGTGGCACCTACCTTAATCTCTGTGCCATCAAGGGAGGAAAGAATACAGGCTGGCAGTTGCTGTATCTGTAATAAAACAGCTAGACAAAGTTCTCTGCTACCATCACACTACAGCTGTTGGTAGATATATGACAGCATAGCCAGCTTTCTGTAGCAAGCAATATTTCATGCATCCAGAAACATATGTATCATTTTAGGTCCTGGTATGAAGGCCAGTGCACTTAAAAGGAATCAATCAACTAACTTCAGTGTCGTTGATGCAGGCCCTTAGAACTGTCATATTTCAATGGGGAGCAGTGAGATTCTTTTACTGATATCTACCTAATAGGTGGCAGGAACGCAAGATTCCTTTGACACTAAAGCTGGTCAGAACATATTGAACATTTACAGCCAAAATACCTGATAATGTTTTTGCAGATTTTTCACTTTTTCTTCCCCAAAGCAATTCTGTTATTTCCCTGCACCATCATTAGTGCAGCAGTCCCCACCCCCCCCATATTTTTCATATAGAACACACATCTGAAAGTGAAGAAAGGTTAAAACATGTAGGCCAAAAAGAAAACAAAGAAACCCAATAAAGAAACCAGAAAGTCATTGCAGGGTTAGATTAACCCTTTAGTGGGTCCCAGACAAACAAACTCGTTGGACTTTGGGCCGATTGAGTCCCCCCTCCCCACCCCAGCCCTGCTGCCAGTGAGGAGTGGGACTTGGCACCGCTGCTGGGAAGCAGCTATTGTGGCAGCAAGGCTGACAGAGGGGAGGGGAGGGGAAGGGAAGGAAAGGGAAGGGAGGTGGAAAGGGCTATTTGCACAGCTGCCATGGAGGGAAGGATCAGGCCTCCCCGCAATTCAGGACCCTAGGCATGTGCCTAGTTTGCCTAGGTGTTAATCCGGCCCTGAGTCTTTGCAAGTCTATGGAGTTGGTTGAGACAAAACTGTATAGCAACTGGAGTTATATTTGAAATATTTGCTCATTTCAAAACTAACCCCCCCACCCCAGGGAAATACTGTTTAAACTATTTTTTGTGTGCACAGAACACAGCTTTCTTTCTATGCCTTCTTTCCCAATATTTTTCTATCAAAATTTGTATAATGAATTATTAAAATGATTGCTGACATTTTTGTTGTGCACTGAAAATTGATGGCTTAAGTAAATGAAAATTTGCTAGCAGCTACTTCAGTATATTTTTCAATAATGTATTTGATAGTTTTGTTTTCCATAATTTTTAAATATTTTGAAGTGGTGGCGCAGAGTCACCATGGCCACTCCACCCAGCTCCACGAGGCTCCCTAAAGCACAGGTCCCGGGGCAGTCGCCCTGATCCCCCCCGCCCAAGATGGTCCTGTTTTTTAAGTTACTTTTGGATTTTTCTAGCAGTTGCACTAGAATCCCAGATGATACCAAGTTCTCTGCTAGCCTCTGAAGTTTGCACTTCATTAGAGGGCAAATACTGCTGCCCATGTAAACTTATCTCAAAAGCATTGGTTATTCATTAAAAAAAATCAGATTACTACAGAATTTTCAAAATGAACAGCAAATAAGTGAATCGACTAATTTCCATTGGGCTTGTGTTCTTATAATTATACAACAGTGATTCATGATAGACAATATTCCTTTTTTAGGAGGCTGTAGTATACCTTCTAAATTATCCTCTTGTATGTATTGGTGAAAAACTTCTTTCAGAGAAGTGAACAGAGATGTAATCCACTGTTCTCTGGAGGCATGTGGGTTTCACAAAACCAGTTTCTGGTTACACAGGCCAATCCAATCTAAGAGGATGATTCCCTTTACAACTCCACAGGAAAACTCATGACCTAAATATTCTGTTTTGCCTACATATAATGAACTCCTAGTGATTTTAATGGTAAGTTGCACTGGGAATAGTGTACCCTGGAAACAGACACGTAAGGGATTTTTCAGCATAGAGGCTCCTGTTGTGAAAAACCTGTCAGTACTACTTAAATTCATCCCTATTTAATAAAACACTTATGCACATATTTACATCCTGTAGAATATAGAGAGGACAGCAAAGGTTCACTATGTAGAATTTAATGGAAAATTTTGCCTGTAATGTAGCTCTGATAAGGAGACTAAGCTAGTTTTGCAGGGCAGGCTCTGATGTATTCTTCCTGGACTCATTTCTCATTCTGTTTCTATGCCTAATTGATCAAAATGTATCTTCTGTTTCTTAGGAGAGCACTCCTCTCGGGAAGAATAACACCTAACAACATGATGAATCCTCTTCACACCTGGGCAATAAATATGTATGTTTGCTGTTTTAATTAATATGTCTAATTAGTATGGTTCTATTTAGCTAAAACAAAAAAAGAAAAAAAAATGAAGAAAAGGACCATAAGCAGAAAAAAGGATCTAAGCTGGTAAGAACCTTGAGAGGCCATCTTGCTTAAGCAAACTCAGCTGCTAGAATCACAAAGGAGCTAAGGCTTCTGAAGTCAGTGAGCATGGAAGAAGTAATTGCTATCTAACATGATCAGAACTAAAGTGTGCATTTTCTAGCTTTGGCTAAATATTTCCTGTTCAGTAGGGCTTTAGTTTAGTGAGCCAAAACCAGAACCAGACTTAGCGGCATGGACAACATGGGTGACTGCCTAGGACACCATGATCAGTAGGGCACCACACGCACATACAATTGAGCAGCTTGTGCTCACAGCAGGACTCTCGACATGTCCCATCCCAGCCAATCTCTGCCCCAGGTAGAAGAAGTGCCCAGCCCAGCCTGCCCCCCACGGTGGCCCCACCTTCAGTCGCTGACCACCTGCCTGCTGGCACAGCATGCAGCTCTGCCTCCTTGCTGGCCCTGCCTCTGCCTGTAGAAGCACCGCTGATTTGGGGTGGGCATAGGGAGAGGGGCACCAAAATACAAGTTTGCCCAAAGCACCATTTTCCCTAAGGTTGGCTCTGGCCAAAACTAAATTATTTTACAATTTGTAAACAAAGGGAGTGGAGGGATATAATGGTACTAAGCACCTTTAATTCCCACTGACTTCACAGGAACTTATTTATGCTCCAGATCTCTGTTAATAAGGTCACTTTCCTTAGGTGTCCAAAATGTGACTTATGTAAAGTGCTTGATTATAGATGTGAAACATTTGAAAAAGTTGCCCCAAATTTTAAATATCAGAGAGCAGGAATCCTTAGAAAACCTATCAAAGTCAAAGTCATTTGAAAAATAGGCTCTGCGTTCTCTTTGGAGTCTGAAGGCATTTCAAGCAGTAATATTTTAAAAATCTGTTTCTAGGGTTTGAATTACAGGAAAGCCACCATTTCCTCCTTCCCTTCCTCATCCTCCCCCCCTCCGCAGCTGAATTCAGCAGCAGAGTAAAAGAGGAGATGAGTAGCAGTGGTGCTTAGCTCCTGTTTTCCCTTGGCTCTGGAGCCCAGGGACCAAATGCTGCTTCTACTGCTCATCCCTTCTTTTTCCTTGCTGCTGAGTTTAGTGGGGAGGAAGGAAGAAGGGCAATCACTCTCTGGGCTCTGGAGCTCTGTGAAAACAGAAGCTTCAGCCCAAACCTTGCAATGGTCAGCTGGGGAGCTCAGAGAGCTCACTGTGCATGGCCACATAGCTGAAGGGGGCGGGGGGAGTGAAGAGGGAGCAACCATGTTGCCACAGTCCCCCTGAATCTGCCCCTGCACCTCAGCTCCTCTTTTCACAGCAAGATTTCGGCATTGGGGATGTTTTGGTTTATTTTTATGTCCAGCTGTATAACCTGTGCATTAGCTTTCCAAGTATGTGATTTCAAGTATGAAATTATTTCCCATAGTCTCCTTTCTCAGCATGCATATTCAAACTGCAGAGGGGACCTGTAAGGGACATGTTTATCCTGCTAAGAATCCTTCTTCAGAAGTCTAACAGGATCGTGCCCCTAGGGGCAGCTATAATGCCCTCTACTGGCCACACAACTCCTGCCCCATCCAGCTCCCTAGTATCTTCTCTTTTCATTTGCCTGCAATGCCTTAATGTAAATTTGTTGATTTGCAAAACAGGAGGTTGCCTTTGGGTCCCAGAGAGAGCCCTCACCTGCCTTTTGACCAGCAGGTCCCTCTCTGACCCTGCTGATCCCAGTCTTGACCGTTAAGTGCTAAGTGGCCCAACTGGCCCATCTGTGCCCCAGGGCACCTGTTGCCTTAAGGGCTATTTGTGCCCTTCTCCACTCCTACAGTCATAGGCATGCATTGCATATGTTAACAGTGAATTACTCCAGTTGGCACCTTGTCCCAATACAATGTCAGACCTCCTCAGGTCTGCCCTTGTCAGGGCAGTGGATTTCCTAGCTTCTGCCTCTTTCCTCTAGCTGGACTCCTTTTAGCCTAGGCCTACTGCACTGGGTCTTGGGCACTGGGCCTCTGGCCCCAGTTGCCTTCTAGTCTAGTGTTCACCTTTATGTAGCCCCTCCCCTCCCACTAGTACAATGTATGAGCTATGCTCTGCATGCACAGTCAGCTGGTAAATGAGAAATGTCATTGCTTAGCTGCTCTGCCCAACATATTTCACCCTGGGTGGCATAACTTACAATACCATATCCATGTAAGTTAGTGCTGCTCTGAGTGTTGCTAACTGTCCTTCAGTGGATTTGAAATTGGCATGCCTGTGTAAAAGTCAGGTGCCAGCCAAGAGCAGAACGGCCTGGTTGTGTTGTTAGTCATAAAGATACTTGAGGAACTCAAAGTAGCACTTTTAAGTGGAAAGGAAACATGTCAATTTTAGGGATTTGGGGAAGGAGGGAAGTAACAAAGACATGTAACAGAAAGCTGTTGGTTGTTCTGGAGGGAAATACTGATGGTTCAAGTTATTTTCTTAGTAAATGCACCAGTGGGAGCTGATCTTTTTGGCAGGCATGCCACAGATTAGCTCTACAACCTCTGCAAGTCCCACACTCATCCTCTTCTGCCTTCTGCTTCCTGATGCTGAACTGCCTGTCCCCCCGGGTCTGTCATATGCCACACACAGAGGCTTCCTGTGCTACTTTTGGCAGTCTTGCCACAAGTTAGGCAACCCCCAAAATGCACCATGCCATTTAATGTTAGACTGCCTTAAATAGACGTGCTAATGCTTTTACTGGAGGCAACAATGGCCAGCAAGTCTATATCACTGAAAAGAAGCATGGTTTCTGTGAACTGATTTTCACAGGAGTGATATATTAATGATTTGGTAAAAGGAATGTTAATATTTTTCAGAGGATTTTAAAAAGCATTTCTACTAAAAATGGTACCTGATTACTAGTTCCACATAGAAAAGATGGTAACCTTTTCTTTCTATAATTAATGTATATGTAGCACAGATATATTTTACATTGGCACTGCAGCTTTCGTCACAAGGTGCTTGAGAAATCCTGAGCCTAATCGTCCCATTGTGCCCATGTGAATGGTCCATTAGAGCTCCAAATCATACATCTCTCAAACTGATTGCAGGATTAGGATTCAGAGACGTACAGCAGCAGTGAAATGCTGTCATTTCTGGGGTTCAGGTCAGCAACTGACTAATAGGCAGAATGCTGAAGAACATAAGGGCAAATGGGAACGATCAGTATAGATGCACAAACACAATTTAAAAATACTTTTCTCATACGCAATATCAAATTCTAGAGAATACAACATTCAGAGACTACTAAGGAAAGATACCAAAGCCAGCACGGAGATCTGGATAGCAAGCAGAAAAAAATACAGGAAATGCCCTTTAAAGTAAAAATAGGAAGGCTGGGTAGATTTACATGAAAACTACTCTGATCAAACTAATTGCAAAGGTTTTCTTACCTAAGAAATAGCTATTATTTATATATAAATACACATATATATAATACACACATACACATATGTGAAGGATAGCACACTATTTCTAGGAACACATTTATGAATGTACCTCTGGGGTGGGAAGACAAGGAGCGCGCACTCCACTCCTCTTGAAGCCAAGGGGAGTTGAGTGTACTTGAGACTTAAGTACTGTATGCTTCTGAATTACATGGTGAAGAATGTACATAAGGCCTAAATCTGCTTGTATTAAAGGGACAAAGCTCCCACTGTATTTAATGAGTGAAGAAATCCTTCATAATGGAGCCACTTCACATTTTTACCATGCATTATGACAGGGGTGGTCAACCTGTGGCACATATGCCACAAGTGGCATCAATAGCCCCTGTGTATGATTCCTGGCAGATGTGAAAGGGACAGGAAGCAGAATGGTAGGTAAGGCAGGGAGCAGAAAGCAGAGCAACAGTTTGGGAAGAAGACGGGGATCAGAGTGGCACTTGGAGAGTGGGGTGCAGGGTTTATCTTGTAGCACATCTACCAAAAAGGTTGGCCCCCCACAGCATTGTAACTTTTCCACACATTGGACAAACTAGAGTAAAATTAGTCCCAGTGCTTCATTCTAACATTTCTAAAAAAAAGCAAAAAGTAAACTCATAAGTTCAATCTTTGTAAGGGGAGACAGGAAGATTTAACCCTTCTGCAGAGCCTGGGATGCATCCTAGTACTCAGCTAAATTCTACCAATTTGCCCCTAATTACAGAAATAATTCAAGTTTTGTTTCATGAATATACCTGTTCAGGGAGGTGAAGAACTTGATGGGTTATCTACACCTTGCTTATAAATTGTGGCATTGATCAATACCACTATTGGAGAGAAAACATTCAGAACCCCTAAAGCTAACAGCAACTGAAAATAAATACTTGCCCTATAATTTGAATATTGTGCATTTCATTTTGACACCATAGAATCAATTTTGTTTCTCTTCCAAGTAGTTGACATAAAATGGACTTAATTGGGATGATAATCTTGAGGTTTTGCTGTCATTTCAGGTCTGAAGCTATCTGGTTTACTGCAGAAGCTGCAGTTCCCACTGGAAGCAAATGGATGAACTGCAGCTTCTAAGACAGGAAGAACAGTTATGTTCTTTGGTTTTTTGGCTAGCTCTTAATTTCTGTGCTTTAAAATGTTTCTTGGGTTTTTTTTGGAAAGACTTATTTTTTTTAAATGGTCTTATAACTGGTGTACCATATATATTTATTATTTCTACTTATATTAAACAGGAAAAAAGTGATAATGAAAAAAATCATGTATAAATAAGAAGTGACTAATAATGATGCCTTGTACATAGAAATGTTTTCTTTTGGGACAGGAAGGAAAATGTTACTGTATTTTTTTGAACTTCCAGTAAATAATTTTCTTAAATCATATGTAACAGATTGCAAACTTGGAGCTTGGTCCTTTAGACCAGGGTTGGCAACATTTTTGGGCAGAGTGCCAAAAACACCCACAACCTCGATTTGCAAGATGTTGGTGTGCCAGGAGCGGACAGCGGGAGAGCCATGAGGGGCCCCATCCTTGATGTGGCAGCACAGCCCCAGCCCCTTCCCTACCATCCACCCCAAGGCGTGCATGCCAAGCAAAATGCTTTTGTATGCCAAGCTCTTGCACCCATGCTGGGGGTTGCCTACCCCAGCTTTAGACACTACCAAAACAAAATTCTAACTGCAAATAATTCAACTGACTTTTGTGGGATTTCTCATTACAACAAGCACTTCACCTGGTTGCAGACATTTGCAGGATGAGACTTTTTGAGATAATCCCTAAGTGACAGTCATTTTGGGTTTTTTTCTATGAAGGGAGAAAATTTCTAATTATGTTCTACATTGGAAATCTCTAAATACTGTATATTGCTGCATATGGTGCTTAAAATGCAAAATGACCACAAACAATATAATCGTTTATGTTTAGGTGCTCCTTAGGTAGTCACTTCATTATAAGTATTCTTAACATGTCTCCTTATATTAATCTGCAGTACATAGTGAAGATCCAAAAGCTGCTTATGATACTACCCGCTGCATTTATCAAAGGGATAACAACAGTGTGGCTGGGCCTTGTTTTCCAAATTTTGCGTATTTCACGAGAGTCCTGTTCATTATTTATCAGTACTAAAAATGTAATGAGTACACATTAAACATCTGAAAAGTGCTGCTATCTGCATATCTGCAGCTTTTCTAAAAATTAAAACATTTAGGAATTGCAGTCTTTTGATCAATTCTGTGCCATTTTGACTACTGATTTGCAGTATACATAGACATCCCATTGTTGTTGAAATAGGAATATGCAACAGTTAGTTCTCTAAACACAGAAATTATTGAATTCTAATCCTGTTTCCGATCTACTACCTCGGTGTCTTTGGCAAGGGACTTAACTTCTCTTTCCAGTTCACCTCTCTGTAAAGAAGAGGTGGTAACACTTATGTACCAGTCTCACAAGGGTGCTGAAAGATTCATTAGTTTGTGTTTGTTCAGTATTTTGGAGATGAAAAGTGCTCTTTGAGTGCTAGGTATTATCATGGCTCATTTTCATTTTGATGGGTCTAATGCCCTATTTTAGGAAAACTTTCTGATGAAGCAATGTGAAAAGTGGGACCCAGTGAGTATGCTGCAGGCTGTAGCTGAACTTTTATACTTAGATAAAGCATTCTTTGTGCTGGATCATGACTGGCTCTGGCCAGATTGGTTGAACAGAGGAGGCCTGAGCTTTCAAAAGGTGAGGCCATCTAATATGCACAGCTTAAAGAGTTTATACAATAAAGTATACCCACTTCAGCTTGATTGATGAATCCTGCTGACAAAGGAATCTGTGCCTGTCATATATAATAAGTTTTTTGTAGCGTACTGCACCCTCTTGACAGGTCAGTTTAAAAGAAACATGACCGTAGTAAATGAATATCTGTGTTTATGAAAGGTTTATTCAGAAAATGTCACGAAGTATCAAGATAATGTTAATCTTCTAATAAAATTTTGATCTTGTATAAAAGCCTGTTCCTCTTTCTCACTTTCTGTAAATACAGTGTGTAATCTGCACCAAATATATACATTGCCCCTGATCCTGCATTCATCTTGCACATTAAAGAGGTCAGCATGCTCTGTTACAGTCAAGCCTATTTCCAAATGTTATTCTATTTCTAGAGCAAGGCATTCTGGGTTTTGCAACTTCTGAGGACACCAGGGAGTTTGGGGCCTTGCAGAAAGGCAAAACCAGGATTATATAAAGTTCTCCTTTTCACCAGAGGAGAGAATGGGAGAGGAGCAAAGGTTGGAAGAAAATAAGCAGCCTATCTGAAGGAGGCTGAGTTAGTTTCTCCACAGAGTAAGTGTTTGTAGTGCCAAGAAAACATTTTTGGTGAGAGAAGAAAAGCGATCATATCTGACAACTGCTTAATTTTCAAGGACTACACATTTTATAGAAGAACTAGGTTATGAATTTATCTGTCAGACCTAAAGACTAGCAGAGACTACTAGTGTTGAGAAGACTGACCCAAGTGAAGAGATTAGAAGGTTTTCGATTTTGGTTAAGCCAGAAAAGGATTTTTTTTTTTTTTTCGATTTAACTAGAAAGCAAAGTACCTACCAGGGAGGGACAGAGGTGCTTGGCTTGGCTGCAAATTGAACTGCGGCTAAATATACAAACCGTTCAGGTGACAGCTGAATGCGGAAGAAATGCAAACTCTATTGATATGTGTCACACTTATCAGATTCAGTGGGCCTAGTTTGATACAGGTCTGCAAAATGCTTTCACTTACATGCATTGTTAAGAGAAATGAAGCAAAACAAAAGAGTCTGGTCCTCTAAGATCTATGATTTGTCTACATAAGCTCACTCAGGGAAATGAATCCAAATTAACTGAAGGTGTACATTTAAAATGGGTTAAACTGTGTTAAACTGCCACCTGAGCACCCTAATTAAGAATTGAAGTACCCTTAATTCTGATTAGTTTAATTTACTTTAAAAGAGAAGTAAGCTAAACTGAATAAAAGTTGTTTCATTACAGTGCCCACAATGGGGTTTAATAAATTGAATTAGTCAATTTTAAAAGTTAATTCAGATTAATTTTCCTAAGTTGTCCAGTGTAAACAAGCCTCTAGACCAATGGTATAATTTCAGCCTGCATTCTGTCTGTATTTCAGTCTGCATTCATTCTTTCTGCAGTCTTTCAGTCTGCATTCTTTCTGTATGACAACATGAACAGAAGCCCACTTTTTCATCAATCTAAGCACAACCAAGCTAACAAATGTGCATTTGTTCAAGAAGTTATTGGCTGATGAATAATTCCTGATTAGCAAATTCTGAGTTGTATTGTGAGTCCATATTACCAAAGTGCTAGGAAGTCAGATTTGTCAGGTGAAAAGAATTCTCTATTTTTGTATTAGGCAGCACTCAGTTCACTCTGAGCCAACTTGGGCTTCTGGAGAAATCTGTTTCATATCAGGCCTGCTTGGACTTAATACTATTAATATACTAAGTATAATGCATAGCATTAAATCATATTTTTAGTCTCGTTCTACTAGCAAGAGACCTATGCTTCAAATATGATGGAAGGTGGGGAGGTGTTGGGGATCTTGGATGTTTTTGAAACTGTGTTGAAGATCTAAGTTTGAAGAGAAGAGGACTTGATGGTAGGCATCTATTACAGACCACCACACCAGGAGGAGGAGCTGGATCTGGAATTTTCCAGAGAACTGATGATGGCTGCACATTCAAGGTACATGGTTGTCATGGGTGACCTCAATTACCCTGACATCTGCTGGGACAAGCACTTAACCAGATCTGACCGGTCATATAGGTTTTTGACCTGTGTGGAAGACCTTTATTTAGAACAGGAGGTGAATGGGTTGACCAGGGGGAAGGCTTTGTTGGATTTGGTTCTAGCCAAAGGGGACGACCTGGGAGATCTGAGGACTGAGGGTAATCTGGGAGATAGTGATCATGAGTTGTTAGAATTCCCTATCTGTCATATGGCAAGGAAGTCAGCCAGTAGGGCAGAGGTGCTTAACTTCAGGAAAGCTGACTTCAATGAGCATAGGAAAATAGTGGGAGAGACCCTTGGGAAGAGGAACTGGAGAGGAAGGGAGTTCAGGAAGGATGGGGGTCCCTCAAAGGAACAAGTCTCAGAGCACAGAAAAGGTCCATTCCTGTATGCAGGAAAGGTGGTAAAGGGGCCAGGAAGCCCTCTTCGCTTACCAGAGGAGTCAAGGAATCAAAAGAAAAAGAAGGCTTGTGGACAGTGGAAACAAGGGGTAGCTACCAAGGAGGAAAACACAAGTATAGCCTGTATTTGTTGGGAAAGGATAAAGAGGGCAAGAGAGGTGACTGAAATCAGATTGGTGACTGAAATCAAGGACAATAAGAAGTCTTTCTTTAGGTATGTAGGGAGCAGGAGGAAGACCAAGGGAAATGTGGGGCCCTTGCAGAATGGGACTGGACAGCTGATAATAGACAGTCAGGAGAAAACTGAACTCATTAATGAATACATCAGTGTTCCTGGCATACAAATGGTGGTTGCCTGCCTGGTTGGATACAGGATGGATGGGGGGAAGGGGATGAAGGGGAGGGAGCCATTGCCAACCAAAGGTCACAGTTGAACTGGTAAGGGAGCACTTAGAGTGGCTAAATGTCTTCAAATCAGCAGGACCAGATGGACTACACCTGAGAGTGCTGAGGGAATTGGCTGGAGTCATTGTGGGACCACGTGGTGTCAATCTTTAAGAAGGGGAGGGAGAAAGATCTGGGAAACTATAGGACTGGTCAGTTTGACCTCGATACTGGGTAAATTTTTGGAAAAAATTATCAAGAAGTCCATTTGTGAGAGACTGGCAGAAGGCATGATGCTGAGGGATAGTCAACATGGTTTTCTTGTGGGCAGATCGTGCCTGACCAACCTCGTCTCCTCTATGATCAAGTAATGAATTGCCTTGATGTGGGAGACATGGTTGATGTCATATACTTGGATTTTAAAAAGGCCTTTGATATGGTCTCCCGTGACACTGTTATAAAAAAACTGGGGGATGGTGAACTGGGAGAGTCCAGAGTTAGGTGAGCTGGAAACTGGCTAAGGGGTTGAACCCAGAGTGTGTTAGTGGATGGGTTTGTATCATCTTGGAGGGAGATGGCTGGTGGTGTACCACAGGGTTCAGTTCTTGGCCCCATGCTGTTCAACATTTTTATCAGTGAT